CCCCAAAACCCCAAAACCCCAAAACCCCACTTTGGCCTTCAGAAATTGAATGTTCAAAAATATGTTGAAGCCAAATTCTAATCATTTTTAACTTTGACCTATACCCAATACTTTTGAAGAGCTCATATGATCAGAAAGGGGCTGTAAGCTTACCCTGAGGTGGATTTGAAAGTCTTTAGAGGCTCTAGCTTGATTAAAAGCCCCAAAGAATCACCTCTAAAGCTTATTAATGCGAAATTTCATTATATGGGGCTTTAAAGACAAATTTAGTCAGAAAAAATACGAAAGAGCATGGCTATTTTGAATAATATGTAAAAAGTAAATTCTCCACATTTTGAAGAGGGATATGACACTTTTTGCAAATTTGGGGAGGAGAGGAAGGCATTAATGCAATCATTTTGAAACACTTTTTGCACCACATTGGGCTCTTGAGGGCTGCTAAGGACTGAGAACGGGAGGAACACCTCTCCCGCACTTTTTCGGATGGGGATTTCTGGTTTATTGAGTTAGAATTGTTTCTTAAATTGTACTATAGGGGTCAGAAAAGTGATTTTTACGTTAAAGTTGTTTTCATAAAGGAGCACTTACGTGGGATGATCTATTAAATCTTGGGTCCTTTAGGCTCTCAACCTCATTACGACTTGGCTCTTGAGGAAGATCATATGTCCTCACTCTACACTAGTGTTAGGAAAGAAGAACTTTCTGCATAATTTTGATGATATTTTAGGTAAAAATTCTTACACATGTTTCCTCCTATGAATCATCTTGATGCGCTTCTTGAGCTGGTGAGATAAATCAAAAGCCTGAGGATTTTGACATCGCTCTTGGCCCTGTGAAGGCTTTTTAAGCTCTTCGATAACCCTTCGAGGGATGGGTCTCGGGGTTGAGGTTTTTCCCGCCCAATTTTCATTGATTTCCGCATCTTTAAGGATTATTGGTTTTGGTAATTTTAAGTGAGATTCAAGATTCATTATCATCAGATTCCTGGATACTTATGACCTCTGCTCTAGCTTTCTCTTGATCCTTCTTGTTCCTCTTTTTCAGTTTGTCTGAATTGGAAGTGTCTACCAAGGGCTTTGCCTCCACAACTTTGGGTTGCACACTTGTCTTCGAGAGGATCAAAAGGCTCTGAGTGATGTTCTTCATGAAAGAGACCTTTCTGATTACCGAATTGAGGATATCCACATGGTCTGTTGCTTGAGTGGCTTCTTTGAGGTCGGATAACCTTTTGGTGATGTCCTCCATCTCTGTCACATTGTAGTTTACAAAATTTTCGATTGTTTTTGCATCATAATCTCCTTTTCCGCTAGATCTATGATGCATTTGTCAGGGCCGGATTAGAAATTATGGTAATAAAGTTGCCTAGAAAGGCAACTATTGCATGTTAGATAGACCCATCTGGCCTAGAGGGTTGTATATTTGAGTAAGCTAAGTTTGAAGATTTACCTGATTTCCATTTCACACTATAACTTTAATTTAATGAAATCTCAACCATTTTTAAATCTAAAGGGGTTTTGGGGTTTTGGGGTTTTGGGG